TTTTACTGTCACTTATTACTGAGTGTAGAAATAATAGCACTTAGGCAGTGGTTAATTGAAATAAAACAGATGTAAATTTTTTAAAATTACTAATGCAGGGTACTAGTCAGACACAGTGGGCAACTTTGAAATAAAGTTGAGTGATGTTTTTTTGATGGCTTACCAACTGCTCCTCACATCTGGTTTCTCAGGAGGTTGAGGCATGCCTTTATGCTGGTGTGCATTATATTGGGTGTGTTAGACATTGTCAGTGGGCACAAAATACTCCACTGCTACACTTGGACATGCTGAAGCCTTTCCAGCAGCCTGTATTGCAAACAATGCACCTCAGTTTGAGTGCTACTAGAGGAAAATGTGATGTCCTTTCTGTGGCTATGTTTGTAGTTAATATTCAGAAGCCTGCTGTAATTGTTTGCTGGCAGCAGCCTGTGTAAATTCCTTTGGGTGCTTGTCATGAGCCCAGTGTCAATGTTTGTCAGCAGCCACTGCCTCGCACGATGCCTCATACTGCTTCAGGGTGAGGGAGAGACAAAGACACAGTTTATCTTCCTCATTGCACTGCTCCAACTGTGCTGTGCCTGCACATCCACTCCTGGGTTAAAACTTGGTAGTTGTGAGAGCAGCTGGCCCAAAGCCTGAGCTGTGCTGGTCAGATGTGCAGTACTGGAGCCTGTGCTGAAGCCCCAGTTTGTGACACTTGGCTGTTGGCACTGAGGGACCTGTGCAGGTGTAGGGGAGGGCTGGTCTGTGTGCTCAAGGCATTGTGTAGCTTTGGCAGATTTGTAATACTCTCACTAGTCTTGGTAGTTAGGATTGCATACAACTTACTTTCTCTAATTGAAATTCCCCTGCAGTAGTGACTAAGACTTCAGCCAGATTCAAATTCTGTAGCTGCCTGGCAGGGATGTCAGCAGGAAGACTGGTTTTTTGAAGCTCTCAGTTGTCTTACCCACTCCAGTAATACTAGTGCTCAGCTGTAGAGAAAGACACTGGGGAGGTGCTGAGCATTTGGGCTGTTATGTGGCTGCTGCCTGTGCTCCATGCTTCAGCTGAACCTGCCTGCTCCTTGTTGCTCCAACAGGCACTGGCTGTGTACTCTGAAATTCCAGAAAGCAGGAGAGACTGATTTCCCACTCTTAAACTTTCTGTTGCTGTTTAACTTGTATTAAAGCTGGGGTTTTTTTTCCTAACTGTTTTGTTTTGTTTTGTTTTTGAAGTTAGTGCATGATCCGGGATCAGGCTTCTCATGGATAAAGAGATTGAGTGTGGGGGTAGGGAGAGGCAAGGCTGGGTGGCAGTAGGAATTGTAGGAAAAAAGGGTTTTCTTTGTACCCTTGGCTTAGTATTTCAGTCTTAACCATTGAAGGTTATTGGCAGTTATTCTAAAAACTATTCAAACATACAAATACTGAAGGGAAAAAACAAAAGCAAGGAATCATCTTGAATGCTAAGAAATAGTTACTTGAGAGTTTGATAGCATTTTAACTTCCAGTGGCCTCTTTTGAACAGCCAGTCTGGCAATTTATTTATAAAGCTATAAACATACTTTGAACATAAAAGCCAAAAAATACAAACTCAGTGAAGTAAAAAAATTATAACAAATGATGGATAGTCATTGGACAAATTAAGGTACAGCTGCAAAACATTTATCCCTGCTACATACATACAGTGGTTTTACTTGTTTTAATGAAGTGGTACTTCCATTACTTCTACGTTCAGACTGATTCCAGGAATTCAAATATGTATTTCAGGAAGAGTTAAAACTGCTGTAAAATAACTTCAAAAAAATTGTTGAGATAAAAACTTCAGGGCAAAGTCTTCCTTTAAAAGAGTATTAACACAAAAAATCGTATTAACACAAAATAGCAACACTTCATATGGCAGTTTGAAAGACACTTTTTTTGGTATTAATAACTTCGTTTTGGCATTGGTTATCAGCTGTGGGGCCCCGGAACAGAAGTCAGTCATGCTGTTTTGTCTTGGAAAGGGGCAGCCAAGCAGTATCTTTTCTGTGTTTTGGAATAAAAATAATATTTTCTCAGTTAGCCCAGTATAAACTGAGTGCAGTGTATCACAAGTGGGTATTCTGAGTTTATCCTGCAGTAGCTGGAAGCACAGGGTAAGGTCTGGCCTGTATGTGCAGAGCTGAGCACACGCAGACAATGCTGTGGGTGTGACTGCTCCAGCTCTGAGGCTCTGAAAATGCTCCTGTGCCCCGAGGGCACAGGGAAGGGCTCCCGGGGAGGGGGTGGTAGGTGCCACTAAGGAGCTTTTGCAGGAGTCAGTTGGAATAACAATGGTGAGAGGAGGCTGTAATGCAGATGAGCCTTTTCCTGGTCGAGGCAGGGACATGGAGGGGTCAGAGGAGCCTTGAAATAAGCAGGTGAAAGTCCCAGGGTCTGAAATGAATGAGGGCTGGTCTGGTGCCTCGGCCAGTTTAATACTGATCAGGACTTCGCCTGAAATTTCCCCTGGTGTTACTTAAGACACATCTGCTTTTTCTTTTTTACCTGCCTTTGCTTTGCTGCTAAGTTCCATCTGTCATCCCACCACACAATAGCAGTCAGGTGTTGAGTTACACCAGCCTTACACCCAGTATGGGGTACACCAGGCTATGGTGGCTGGTCTGTCATCTGTGGTGTTTCCTGTAGGTGACACAGCACCTCACAGCAGAGGGTCTCAGAGTGACAAATGATGAGCTGAGACACAGCCATTTTTAAAACTGTATTTTTTTGTTTGTTTGAAAATCAAATTATTAAAGAGACTGCATCAAGTCTGGCAAGTCTACTGAGTCCCTCTGTTCAACACCGGAACATGCTGTTGACTAAGCTTGCTAATAAAATAATTTAAAATGAGCAGATTGCATATTGATCTAGTGCTATGTAATTAACCCTCTGAGTGCAGTCAGTACAACAGTGTACAGTTGGCATTGGATCAGGTAATGCTACTTCTCCAAGGGTTAAAATAATTCAGACTTCACAATGACTCTTTGCAAACTTGTCAGGTTTGTGCACATAGCTTTCTGTCAGTGCTTCTGAAGTTACATTTATACAGGAGAGGAATAAAGAAATAGTTTTAGATTTTCAAAACTAAAACCAGAAATAAAACATCTACACTAGAAGCAAAACTATCTTAATAAAGGGACTAAACCCAAAGCTGCTCTACAGACTAGTTAGGTTTGGCTTTTTTTTTTTTTTTTAAATTTTTAAATCCTTGAGGCATAAACTTGGTTAAAAAGTTACGTTTAACCCAATGTAAAAAATTATGGTTTGTGTTTTTGCATTAAGAAAAAAATATAAAAATAGTTTGTACATTATAAAGGTCATCTTAAATTTCTTGCAGTTCTACAATAATATTACTACATGATTTGTATTCAGTACTCCAAAACCCATCTATCAAGTAGGATAAAAATAGTGCCCCTTCTACCTCTGTGTGGTGTCATTTTTCTCTTCAGCAGTCTGGAATAGATTTCTTTCAAACAGGAAAAAAAGTCTGCACTGGACTAGACTGTGGTCTCTGAGAAGACTGTAAACCTGAAGTAAATCCAGAACTTGGAATTATTTGGGATTTACATCAGTTCATTGAGATCATAATCCATCCACAGTGTTTTTTGTTTATCAATCAAAATATAAATACAAAACCAGAAACTGGTAAACATTTTAAAGCTGGAGAGAATACATTAACGTTTGGCATTGTCATTGGGGTGGAGGGAGAATCTTTTAGAAAAAGCTAGAATAAGGTTTTTTAAAAATTTCTACTGAATCATGAAAAAGAGGGTTCTTATCTCGCCGAGGGTATGTACAGACAGATGTGACAGAGCAGGGCAGTGAGTGCTGCTCTGCTGCCACTGCCCCCGAGGG